TTTTGAAAATGATAATTTAAAAGTAAGGGTGGGTGTAATTTCCTCCAAAAAAAACCCTAAGGCGTATAAAAAAACAACTGAAAGTCCACCGGAACGAGTCTTGGCGCCAAATCTCTTCAGTACTCTCAGCTCCGTCGTGCTCGACCGTCGGTAAACTCCTCTGCCGCCCTATCTTCATAGTAAATTACCGTAAATTAAGATAATTTTTCTTTTTTTCCTTCACGAACTTAAAATTATATTTGGTGTCTTTGCAGAAGAAATCGAAGGAAAAGGATGGCGTACGCAACGATGAAGCCAACTAAGCCTGGGTAGGAGGAGCCCCAGGAGCAAATTCACAAGCTCCGTATCACTCACTCTCCTCCACGAAAGTTAAGAACCTCGAGAAAGGTATAGTAGCAGGGTCATAAAATGGTTCACAAGATCCGTATCACTCTCTCTCCTCCAAGAATGTTAAGAACCTCGAGAAAGGTATAGTAGCAGGGTCTTAAAATGGCTGTGTAATTTGATCTGTAAATCTTTCTGTTACTTGGCAGATTACTCTTGTTGAATGTTCTCTGTTTGTACCTTTCGTATGCCGATAATTAGTTTATTTTCTTTTTGTGGTTCTGATTTAGCGTATGATTTCCATTGTTGCCTCATTGTATAACTTGATTATTAGCATTTGTTGTTTTAACAGTTAAACAATGCTTAAAATTCTGAGCACCTTTAAGTTTTGGATGGAAGGCATAGCTTACAACTTTTTTTTGTATTACCATTTTGTCAATAAAGGGCGTATAATATCACTCATGAAACTGAATGAGTTATAGACTATAACTATGTTTTATGATAGTTACTAGGTATTTGTATTCCAATTTGATGTTATTGGATAGGATCCAATACATGGGAAAAGGATTTCCATCCTTAGCGATGTATTTAGTTGTGGTTATTATATAGTAAGGATTTCCATCCTTAGCGATGTGTTTAGTTGTGGTTATTATACAGTTTCTGCTTATGATGATCTTTATAATTGTCTATTTTGATGCTTTGTTGACTTTTTTTTTGTTTAACAGTCTGTGCTGATTTGGTTCATGGTGCTAAAGACAAGAGGCTCGGGGGGGGGGGGGGGGGGGGNTCGTGGTGCTAAAGACAAGAGGCTCAGGGTTAAGGGACCAGTGAGAATGCCCACTAAGGTTCTTCACATCACTACTAGGAAGTCACCTTGTGGTGAAGGTATTACTTTCAGCACGAGAATAATAATATATTTCTCTTTTAACATATAACTATCCTTGACATGGTATGCTACTTGGCAAAATGGTGCTGGAGTTTGCAAATTTTTGAAGCTGTGGTTTTTTTTTTTTTTTTTCCTTTGATGGATGTGCAGTATAGATATGTTTATCAGTTATTTGGTATAGGTTATTGCTACTTAATTATGCTTATGCCTTGTAACTGCATATTCCCTCTGATAAAAAATTTGGCCATTTAGGTGGTTAAGTGAACTGCGAGCAAAAGGTGAATGCTGTATTTGACTTTCTTCTCTTTGCCATGGTGCCTTACCTTCCTTGTGTATAACATTGAGTAGTCGATGTATCCGCAATATCACTGATTTTGCACAAATTCTATCTCTGTGCAATTTAAGCTTGTGGCTCGCAGCCAATAAATACACCATTTCGGATCATGGGCCGAGCCAGGGGGACAAAAAAAGTCGCTGGGATGATACATAAGAATTTTATTTTTTATTTTTTTACCTAAGAACAATTAAATGGGCTGCTCACTCCCTCCGCCCCAGTTTTGGACCACTCACTTCCAAATCAACTATCAATCCACCATCTTTTATAAATTCAGTGAAATTTATGTAAAGAGATTAATAGAAGATTATGGTTGTTTGTGTTTTCCATTCATCTGATTAATAGTGAGTTAGGTTTGAGAAGATGGCTTCTTGGTTGCAGTGGCAAGAAAATGATTTGTGTTGAGTTGTTTGTGGGGATAACGCTGGATTTTGAAGCAGTGCTTCATAAGGAGAGGATTAGCAGGTGGTAGCAAAGTTGTGGACGGGATATTGGGTTGGTTAGCAGGGCTCAAATGACTGGAATAGGAAATGAGCGTTTTAGTGCATTAGATGTATTTTTTACGTAGGGGCAATATTAAAAAATAGCTTAAATATTTTTTCTACTGAAGTGGTCATTTTCATTGCAAAACTCAAAATGGGAAGAATTCCAATCTTTACAAAATGGAGCTTTTAGCTTTTTGAGGCTTCATTATTATCGCCTGCAAGAATCTGTGGTAACTTTCTGTTTTATAGAGCAGGAAAGTTCAATTTATTTTCATCAGTGAGAGATAGTTGCTTTTCAATAGTCTGTAGACCATAACTTCGATATTTCTTTTCGTTTTTGAAATTGGTTCTCTTTATTTGATATGACTCTACAGCCTTTGTCAACCATCGCTCATTTTTTTCATTTGAAACTTGCTTTTCTGTTTGCTGTAGTGAGCGGCTTACTTTGATGATTATCTCAAGATTATCTGTTGGTTGTCCTAAAAGTTCATTGCTGATAAGATTGAGTGGTGGATTGTTGCTTTATAATCTAGATTATCAACATGAGATAACAATGCTCAGAAATATTAGGGAGCATTATAAAATATGATTTGTGCATCTCAGTGTTTCTGGATCTCCGTTGAATTAAGTTATGAAACTCCATGTTTGTGGTGGTGCTATTGGCTTTTGGTAATTGGTATCTCGATTTGAAATTTTGGTTTTTTTTTTAATTAAAAAATTGATTCCCAGGTACTAACACATGGGATAGGTTTGAGCTCTGTGTACACAAGCGTGTGATTGACCTGTTCAGCTCCCCGGATGTGGTAAAGCAGATTACCTTGATCACAATTGAACCTGGTGTTGAGGTTGAGGTTACGATTGCTGATTCTTAGACTTGCCTCAGTCTCAGATGTATTTCTATCTTTTATTAGCAGTAAATTCTGTGCTAGAGGATCTTGCATTTCAACCATAGCTGGGTATTGTAACAAGGTTATGATAAGAGTTCTGCTATACAGGTTTTGATGTGGATGGGAACTTGGTTATTTGTTGTTTACTCGTTCAACCGATTAATGCATATTACTTTTTCACTTATCTGATAATTGAACTGTAGCAGTATTTTTTATCAAAATGATTAATATTTTGTTTGATTTATTGTTTTCAATACTCTAATAATATTTGATGTGTTAGATTGTTCCTTTGGGAAATTGATTTCCCGTCCTCAGTGGATAAGATAAAAACTTCTCACGGGAGTAGGAGACTCATGGGTCCGCTACGGGGGCAGACTCCGGCTCAGCAGGAGGGACATTTAGATCAGAAGTTAAGGCTGCCTTGTTTAGCTAACATGGCAAGGTTGAAGGCTTTTAGATCCTTGGAACCTAGACCCCGGAATCAGGGCTCTGTTCATCTGATGTAGTACGCTAACTTCACTGCTGGCCATCAGAAACTTCCATACAGACACCTTCAAGTTTCTGGCATCGAGGAACATTAACAGCTTGAAACAACTTACTCAAATCGTGCATCTTGCATCATAGTAAAGTTGGGCTCCTCAAAGTCTAGAGTTGACAAGCCAATCAAGTAGCTAAAGTAGCATTTTGCACAAATTTCATCAAAGTATCTCACAAAATCATGTATTTTTGGTGAAATTTTGCTATCAATCATGTCAACTAACAATGTGTAATGCTGCTGCAAAATCCAATGCATGATTTGACGTCTCTTTAGGCTGTTGTGAGTACTGGCTCTTGTCAGTCCTGGTAAATCCAATGCATGGTGCAAAATACAAATTTTATTATTATTCTTTTGTACAAAAAATCTATTAATGAGAACACGTGCTACAAATGTGAATAGATTGGGAATTTAAATGAAATAAAAATAGATGGAGAACGCGTTTGCTATTAAGCTCCTTTTTTGTCATTCATTTTATCAAACATTATTTGTTATAGTAAACATTCTCCACCACATATTTACTCAATAAAATATTCTACACACAAATTAATAAAATTAATTTACTTTTCAATCACACATTCTTCAAAAATGCTATTAAAAACTCTATTTCTCCCAAAATGAGAGACAAACATGCACTAAATTCGGAACCACTACCATAGTTCTCTGTCTTTAATTATTGATTGCAATCATGGTTCTTAAAATTGTAAAATATGATCCCAAAAAGGAAATTAGATTCAATTCGTTCACAAAATCGCATTTTGATATAATCTTGCAAGAAATGCTAGAGGAACATAAGTGTTCACATAAGGGTTGACACAATTGCCAAATGGCGGCCCCATATTGGGGGGCCCCTGCGGGCCAAATGCTATGTGAACTCTTATGTTCCTCTAACATTTCTCTAATCCTGTAGAATAGTACTATTTCTACGATCCAAAGATTTCATGAATTTAGTGTATAATTGGCCGAAAAAATCGAAAAATATTAAATTAAAGCAATTGTGTTGGGCAGTGGTAGTATTAGTAAGCAGCTTGGGCTATGTTTTAATTTTAAGCTTTACTTTAAAGCTACAAGGAAAAATGATTTATTTTCAGTTTTTGTAACAGGTTAATTTCTTCTTCATTACAAGTTTCAATTGATGCATTGATAAAAAAGTTATTCCTAATGTTTCGTCAAAGTTCTCCACTTTCAATTTCATAAATTTGAAATCTAACTATTTTAACCATACATTACCAATTTTGTCGTGGATCATTTATAAGTACTTGAATATTTTTTGCTAACCTTTTATTCTATGTTTCAAGTGAGTTATTGTTATATTAATTTTTTATTGGAATCTTTATTTTCATTTTTTCTTTCTTTCATTTTAAAGCAGTATTTAGTAAAATTTGTGTATCAATTAGGCTATATTGGAGCCCCAAATATAGCCCCATTTTTTGGTGAAATGAATTTTATAATGGTGATTTTTTTGGGAATGTATGATTAAAAAGTAAGTAAAAATTTTGGGTTCCCGTGCAAATTTTTTTTTATTGTAAGAATATGTAATTGAAAATAAATTTGTAAACAGATGAAATTTTAGAAAAGAGGAAATTAGGCTCCCTACTATGAAAAAATGAACAAATTAGATTAATACACTTAAAACAAATTAAAACCTTTAATGACAGTAATAATTACGCCCCAAAATTTCCCTAAACCCCCCAAAACCAATCGATTACATAGAGAAATCCTAAACCTTGTTGTGTACCAGACAAAATCACTCGTGCAATTCTTTTTTTCCATTTTTATGTGAATGAAACTATAAGTTTGTTTTTACATACTTATTAAGTACTTTAACAAACTAGTTATTGATTAAATTGAGTGAATTCCTATTCACAATTGTGTAATTGTGACTTTTGTAGGCTAAAATTTCAAATTGGAGGAAAAGAAAGCATATGAGTTTGAGGACTAAAATGTCAAAGTCGAAAAGTTCAAAGACTGAGTTGAAAATTATGAAGGACTTCATTGACAAGGAATTCAAATTTGAATGACCAAATTGGACTAAATTCCAAGCATGCAATTCTTTGAGGACCAAACTGAAGAAAAAGAAAAAAGAGGGCTAAGGTGTGCGCCAAAGCTGCGCGCTCCTTAGTCCTAATTTAAGGTGACAGGGGGCAACCAAAGGGCTTAGGTGCGCTTGATTTTTCTGCTAGGCACGCGCTTGAGTTTGAAAAGGAGGACACATGTTCACATTTTAATTTCTTCTGGGACTCTTCTTGCAATTTGGTTGAGATGGTTTTTATACTTTTTAAACACCCTTTACACTCTTTTCCATTCTTTCTTCCACAATTTTTAAAACCCTAGTCTAGAGAGAAAAGGGGCAAGCAAAAATAGAGGAAATATCACAAAGGAGGGAAATCTTGGAGAAATAAAGACCGAAACTAAGCAAGTTTCAAGAGTCCGACCAAGGGATGAGTTTATTTTTTTTTTTGTCTTGTATTTCACACTATATTTTCTCAAATTTAGTGATGTATTTCTTTAATCTTTTTCATTTTGTGCCTTTTAAATACAATAGACTAAACATTTTGATGTTGGGATGAATGAGGAAACTTGGACTTAACTATATGTTATAGTGGAGGAGCAAACTAGCTGAAGAGGGGAACCAAAGGCAAGAGGAATACCAGGAAGAAGGAACTAAGCTGCTGCCGGGAAGAAGAGCTACTGCTGCCAATTCCAATTCAAAAGCAAGACGAAGCCGTTTTGAATTAGAATGGAGCGGTTTCGTTTTGAGCCAAGGCTTTCAATTGTAATAGGGAACACGTTTTTAACTTTGCAAGTTGAATAATGCGACTTCTTTCTGTTATAACGAGATGGGGAAAGAAATGAAGGGTTCGAATTGTTTTCAGTGTGAATTTCCTTCCCAAATCTCTCTCCGTCTTTTCTCTTTCTTACTCTTTCTTCTTAACCTTTCTCCTTGCATATCATCGTTGAATTGTAATTTCATTCAATAAATCGAATTACAGCTTGGGTTATTGATTCTCAGCTGATTGCCGTCAATTGTTGGTGTTGATTTTATTAAGTTCTGTAGTTTTGGTTGAAGTTGAGCTCCAACCATAACATTTGGTATCAGAGCAGCAACGTGATCTGGGTATGGTTGAAACTAGGAGCAATTCAATTGAAGGTCATTTGAAAATGTTACACAAGAAAGTATCAAATATAGGTGTGGTTGCAAAATCATGGGAGGAAAAGTTGGAAGTTGTACGTACCAAGCAAGACAGGATGTAGCAATTGATGGGGAAAATGAACAGAAAAAATGAATTGATCATTTCAGTGTTTACTAAAATGATTGAGGATCAATTAGCCTTGAACGTGGAATGACATGAGTTCAATATTAGTGCTGATTCAACTAAGGCGACTAATGAAGGCAATGGAAGCACTAGTGTTGTAGAGACAGAGAATAAATCAAGTGAAAAGTTATCAGAAGATTCAAACAACGTTGAGTTAACTGATCAGATTTCTGTTATTTCTGGAGTATCTCCTTTCGAACAATCTGACAGAATTACCTTAATAAATTTGCACAGC